CACCCAGCCAACATGAGCTTAAGCGAAGGGGAGGAAGGATGCCAAAACGATTACAACATTTTATCACACCCTGTTTCACGGTTTGCTTTGAACTTCTGCAAACGGCATCAAAATTCGTGCCAAGAGAGCTGGCGCTGAAACTGAGAATGTTCTAGATTCCCTTTTTTTGGGGGGGGAGAGGGAAAAAAAAGAAGCATGTGGCCCGTTTCCTGTATTTTCCCACGGTGGAAATTCTGCAGGGTCCCCCAGAAAACTAGCCCTGACCTTTGACCTTCTTCTGAAACCCACTTTTTTTGCTTCTGGGTCTGTTTAAAGAGGGCTCCGTTAGCCAGCAGACTCTTGCACCCCCTTTATACAACTGACGGTTATTTATAGACGTTTGAGGCCGGAGCGATGTAGAGCAGGTGGAAAAAAGAATCCTGTTAGCCGATCCCAGATATATTTTCCAGCGTGATTCGCATCAACATTTCCCCTCCACGTGTGAATCTTCCAGTAGAAACTTGAATGCAAGTTTCTGAATCACGCCGAGCCCGTCCTTGTCTTGCTTCGAAAAACCTCAAAGTAACCAAAACGTTCGGAATTAGTTAAGGTCACAAATCCGTGCTTCCCATTCCGAACAGAGAGATATACCTGGCATGCATACATGTTTGAAAGTCATCCGCGTCTCTAATCTCATTTTGGACCGAGTCCCGTTGGCTGGAAGCTGTTACCTTTACAGCAACCTCTCTAGGGTCAAACTTGGGGCAGGTTAAAAAAAAACACACACACAAAAAAACGAGAATGAGTCAGAAAGTCAAGAAAAATCTATTTTTTTTTAATTTTACACACTGGCTTGTATTGCTCGTATTTCCCGCCCCCCCTTTTGTTTTAGTGCAAAAATTGAGAAACATAAAATAAAGTGGACATTGAACACAGCACATAAATAAATCCGATGCATATATACAGATAAATTAACACACATACACACACACACCCTTCCCGAGGCATCTCCAACCTAGGGTGAATAAGCTGGGGATTTTGCACCATGGATAGATCGGAGTTTGTACTTCAACAGGAGCATTGGGGCAACAAGGAAGATAGGATTCCTTCCTTCCTTCTCTTTCTTTCTTTCCTTTTTTCCTTGCTTTCTTCCTTCCGTGCTTGGCAATTGGCTCACATTTTTGACCGTTCGCAGCATCCCACAATCATCTTACCCATCGGTTTTGGTGGGGTTTTTTGGCAGTTTCCATTGTTTCCTTCCGATTTCCAGCAAAAAAATAAATAAAACTGGTAAAAGTGAGACTGCTGCAAAAAAAGGTAGTAAAATCAGTCACAACGTGGTGACCTGCTTGACGACCAGGCTGTTATAATCGTAAACAGAGGACTACATGTAACATAATGTAATTCAGAGGGGAATTTGAAAGCAAGTTTTGAATTAAAGTAAGGGAGCAAGGAAGTGAGTGAAAAAGGGCTTCAACCAGAACAACCAGTGGCAATTCCTTCTTCTTTCCTCCATCTTTGCAAAGCCCACTATCTTTGCTTGCTTTTCAATTTTACGTTGAACCAGGGGGTTGTAGTATCTCTCTTCCGATTGGCAAAGGTGCCAACGAAAGCCCGTAGCAAAAAAGATGCCAAGAACCAATCTCTTGGTCCAAGGCTCTCCAGACTTGGCAACTTTAAGACTTGTGGACTTCAACTCCCAGAATTCCTCAGCCGGTTCATTCTGGCTGGGGGGTTCTGGGAGTTGAAGTCCACAAGTCTTAAAAGTCGCTACGTTTGGAGATCCCTTTTTTTTTTTTTGGGGTCCCTTCCCATCTCCATGAGCAAAACGATTCCTCCATAAGGACATTCTCTGCACAACATCTTCTCCCCAAAAGAAAGACTCTCCAGGGGACCCCCCCCCCCAAACAAGGTTTTTCCTTCAACTTCTATATTTTCATATTAGGGACGTGAAGGACTTCATCTGACTGGAGATGCTTCAATTGTTCCTTTTCAAGAATTCAGAGGCTGCTTGGGAAAAGGCAGGTTACCGACGGATAAATTACAGGAGGGCAAAAAAATCTCTGGCCTTTGTTAACTAGGATAAATTGGGAATATCCGATTTGTGGACCAGAAAGCGCTTTAAAATGGATATTGTTTGGAGAAAGTCCTAGCTTTTCGGCTGAAGCATATTTTGGCTAAAGGATAGTATTTCTCAGCCTGGGCTACTTTTAAGACGTGTGGACTTCAACTCCCAGAATTCTCCAGCCAGCTATGAATTCTGGGAGTTGAAGTCCACATGTCTTAAAAGTGACCAAACACCGCTGTAATAGCTTAAAGCAGGGGTCTTCGAACTTGGCCCTTTGATGACTTGTGGACTTCAACTCCCAGAATTCCTCAGCCAGCGTGCACGCTGGCTGAGGAATTCTGGGAGTTGAAGTCCACAAGTCATCAAAGGGCCAAGTTCGAAGACCCCTGGCTTACAGGAATTTTATCAACATCTTCTGATGTAAACATTTTCTATCCCAATCCGGCGCAAACAGATGAGAAAGTCCCACAGTTTTTACTCTCCATAGATAACCTGCCCCACTGAGGGATCCTAAAAACAAAGTGAAGGCACTTATAAACAAAACCCAAAACACCGTGAAAAGAAACCTCCCCAAATGAATGCAGCGGATTAAACCCTGATTATAGAGTTCCCACCCCATTACAGCACACAGGTTTTGCAAAACTATGTTTCTGGGTGGAAGGCCGAGCACAGTGCCAGACAAGCGAAGGAATGCAGGTTTATAGAAACGCTTGTTGGAAACGTCGTTTTGCAAAAAATACCTTCAAAGCCAAGCCACGATGCTTTTAAATCCAAATCAGGGATACAGGTAAGCCCGACAAAGATGATCTTTGGATGAGCCCTTGATGGCAGATCACACTTTTTTTTTCTTCAAATCATGGCTTATGAACTCTAGGATGGGTGGACTTCAACGCCCAGAATTCCCAGCCGCGGACATGTTGGCTGGAGAATTGAAGAGGTGGACCCATAACTGGTTTGCTAACAAAATATGGCACCAAGCATTATTAGACAGTCTGTTGGATTGTGGCTTAGCCAGCTATGGAAGCTCACCGATTGTAGTTTGTAAAGCAGATCTTGCGGACCAGTCATAGAAGGACATGTTTAATCGTGGCTTGATACGTGAACCCCACTGCTGACCCAGGACCCCCAAAACCTGGGGCCAATTTGAAGTAGATTCTAATGAGGAATCTCCGAAGCTTGTGAGTTGGGTGTCCAGTTCAACCTGCCCCATCCCCATCCAGCATCGATGCAAACTGTGAAACCCGTGACGAAATAAATAAACCAACACACAAACATATGAAACCAAAAACAGAAGCAGCAAAGTGGTAACTGGTAGAAATGAAATCAACGAGAAGCATCGGCTGGCTTGCGGGAGCCTCTGTGTCATATGCGCTCCCACAAAATTCTTACTTTTGCACCCGATGGCAAAGACAAAGAGGTCATCTACACACAGTGGGATCTATCTTCAAGCAACTTCCTTTCCTGTCTCTCCCCACCCAATTTTTTCAGGGCAGGCTAGCTGGCATCCAAGCTGGCATCCTTTGTAGTCCAAACCCCATCAAAATGAGGGAACAGTAGAACAACTGGAGCCTTTTCAAGGCCAGTCCACAAACGTAGTGCATTTTATTTTTTTTTGCTTTCCAAAGCTTCTCCCCAAATTAAGCGCCACCACGTCGCCCTTCTTAGTGCTTTTGAGAACAAAATCCACACAATGCAGCAATACTATGTAGTTTCACACTCCCTTGAAGGAACGAGCATGGCAGGATAATACTCTGAAATCAGACAATATTTTTTTTTTAGACAGGAAATTGTTGGACAAGGCTCTGGAACAGAAGTCTGATCTGACGCGGTGCTACAAAGATGGTGATGCGCAATGCTGACTTGGTCCATTCAAAAGGAAGGCTGTGATTAGGCCACGCTTGGTTAATCCACAAGGATATTTTTCACACACGGAGGTTCACTTCAGTAGATTGCACCCACAGTTTTGGCACGGGGGAGACGAACAAAGTGCCTCTCTCTGCCGTTTTCTGCCCTGCCAACCCTCCACTTTAAAGAATAAATAAGTAAATAAATAGGGAGAAGGCAGGCAGGAAGGTAGCAGATTGGCTGGCAAAGGTTAACAAATAAATGATAAAGGCTCTCATCATTGTCAGCACTCCCAACACAAGCCGGGGAACCCAAGGTGAGCAATGAAGGAAGAAGGGCTACTTGGCACACATCGAACTGTGAAATCCACTTCACGCCGCCTATATGGTGGACTCCTCAAATCACCAACAACTTTGACCCAGTTCTTCCCAGTTTCAGACGAAGAGCTAAGAAGCAACCCCATGGAGACAGCTCCAGACACATGCCGGAAAAGATACTGGGAAGATATCTGATTTGGTGGCCTGCCCAACAGAGGCGACCGACGTGGAAAACAGCCCTGTTTTTGTGTTAAGGCATCCTTTTGCTAGACACCGGGATGAGAGGCCTCCCTCGCCTGCACACCTTCCACAGTGAAGTTTGGTAAGAAGTTATTGGCTAATTGTGATGTTCACAGCTTAGATGCTGCAGCCGGCCCAGCCTACGCAAATAACTCCGTGGTTGGTGTCGTCGGCGTAGCTCGCAGCGGTTCCTTTTGCCCTTACCAATCTCAGTTCCTTGCATGAGATGGATCCAGCGATCTACGTCCAACCGTGGAGCTCAAAGGTCGTTGAGTCTGGTCTACAAGAACCAGGCAGCATCGGTCGAGTTATGAGGGGATCAACAATGGACACGTGGAGAATTCTCCCTTTCGGTTGTCTTCTTCTCTATTAGGTCTTTTTTAAGGAGCTTCCCCTTTTGGAGCTGAGCCAAAAATGGGCCCCGGGGAAAATCTGTCTGGGTGCAGCGCCCCTTTCACAGAGATCGGCTTCCGGAGGGGCCTGACCAAGCCGGCTTCGCGCTCCGACAGATGCTGCAGTCCGGGCGAGGCGGGGAGCGGGAGGGTCCTTCGTCAAAGACTCGTCGAGGATACCGAGAGGGTGGGCGAGGACGGGGGCGGGAAGTTGAGGAGTTCCAGCACGGCCACCCCCACGCTGCTGCGCCGGGTGAACATGCACGAGGCCGCCACCCACTTGTTCGTCCGCGGGTTGTACTTCTCGATGGAGTTGAGGCTGGAGCTGCCGTCGTTCCCGCCCACGGCGTAGAGCCAGCCTTCCATGGCCACCAAGTCGTGGGTGCTCCTAAAAAGAAGAAAGCAGAAGAAGAGAGTTGGAAGGGACTTAGAATTCCCTCAAGCAGGAGAGCATCTGGCTGTGGCTAAACTCCAGGAGCTGGAACCGATGAGCCTCGGCGGTGCAGTGGTTAGAATGCAGTACTGCAGGCTACTTCTGCTGACTGCAGTTTGGCAGTTCGATCCAGACCAGCTCAACGTTGATTCAGATCCTTCCGAGGTCGGTAAAATGAGGACCCAGATTGTTGGGGGGGCAATATGCTGACTCTGTAAACCGCTTAGAGAGGGCTGTAAAGCATTGTGAAGCGGTGTATCAATCTGAGTGCTGTTGCTATTATGCAGAGACAATTTAACCCAGCGGTTCTCAACCTATGGGTCGCGACCCCATTTGGGGTCGATCGACCATTTCACGGGGGTCGCCAAGCAAGGCTGTCCGCCATTTTTTCCCCCTTTTCCGGCGGGTGCCTTACCTCCCTTGAGCTGGGCCAGCTGGTGGTCGGCCTGTTCCGTCTCTGCCGCTTGCCAGCTACGCCTCGGCCGGCGCAGGGGGCGGAACCACGCATGTGCGGCGCTCCCGGGCAGGGAAAGTCCTTGACTTACGACCGGTTGAGTAGTCCTCGACTTACGACCGGTTTAGTCCTCGACTTACGACTGGTTTAGTCCTCGACTTACGACTGGTTGGAGGTCGCGGCATTAAAAAGGTTGAGAACCACTGATTTAACCCTACAGGAGTCGCTTAAAATGAGTGGAGTGGAAGTGGTTTCAGACTCCACCATAATCTTCCTTCTTCCTATCTCAGCTTTTTCTTTAGAGCTGTCAAACTATCCCATGGATTGGTTGTTTAGAATCTCAAATGCTTTTCCTCACAATTTTGGAAACGGTCAGATGCCTTCACGCCCATCCTTTGTGCCTTCCTAATATTTCTTCATTTATTTGTGTCCTGCCTTTATTGGTTTTACAAAGAACTCAAGGCAGTGAACACATCCAATAGACCAGTGGTTCTCAACCTGTGGGTCGGGACCCCATTTGGGGTCGATCGACCAGTTCACGGGGGTCGCCAAGCAAGGCTGTCCGCCATTTTTTTCGTCCGCCATCTTTTTTGTCCGCCATTTTTCCCCCCTTTTCCGGCGGGTGCCTTACCTCCCTTGGGCTGGGCCAGCTGGTGGTCGGCCTGCTCCGTCTCTGCCGCTTGCCAGCTACGCCTCGGCCGGCGCAGGGGGCAGAACCACGCATGCGCGACACTCCCGGGCAGGGAAAGTCCTCGACTTATGACCGGTTGGGTAGTCCTCGACTTACGACCGGTTTAGTCCTCGACTTACGACTGGTTGGGGGTCGCGGCATTAAAAAGGTTGAGAACCACTGATTTAACCCTACAGGAGTCGCTTAAAATGAGTGGAGTGGAAGTGGCTTCAGACTCCACCATAATCTCCCTTCTTCCTATCTCAGCTTTTTCTTTAGAGCTGTCAAACTATCCCATGGATTGGTTGTTTAGAATCTCAAATGCTTTTCCTCACAATTTTGGAAACGGTCAGATGCCTTCACGCCCATCCTTTGTGCCTTCCTAATATTTCTTCATTTATTTGTGTCCTGCCTTTATTGGTTTTACAAAGAACTCAAGGCGGTGAACACATCCAATAGACTTTCCTTTTCCTAATTTCCCCACTAGTGGGACCAGAACTCACCGTCTCCTGGTGATGGGCCTAAAGTCACTCCGCTGGCTTTCATGTCTAAGGCAGGAATGGAACTCACTGCTTCCTGGTGATTGGCCCAAAGACACCCGCCAGCTTTCATGTCTAAGGTAGGACTAGAACTCACTATCTCCTGGGGATTGGCCCAAAGTCTCCCCGTTGACTTTCACAGATAGGGCAGGACTGGAACTCACCGTCTCCAGTTTCTAGGCCAGCACCTTAACCACTACACCAAACTGGCTCAGAGGTGTGTGTGTGTTTCTAGATTTAGATGCGTTTGGAGCAGAATCTTGATTTTCTTCTGTTCTCGCCTCAACGAAGCAAGAATGTTTCCCCCTGGCTCCATTTATACTCTCTGTGGCATTATTAAAATTACAGCGGTTGTAAAAGGCCACCACTAGATCACTAGCCAGGATAGACCCCCTTTGCTTGCAGCCATCCTGCATACTAGGAATCTGCAAAAAAAATTCTCTTTGTTTCCTGACTCACTTCTGCTTGAGGTTTTGAGCTCTCGCTTTCAACATTCGAGAGGGCCCGATTTGGTGGGAAACAGAGATAACCCAATGGTTGGGAGGCCACGTTGTTTAGGGTGCTGCTCCCTACCTCCGGATGTTCATGGGGGCCACACTTTCCCATGTGTTGGTTTTGGGATTGTAGCGCTCCACCGAGTTAAGGCAGCTGGTCCCATCGTTCCCTCCGGCCACGTACAGCATCCCTTCCAGGACTGCCACACCTGCACTACTCCGACGGCTCAGCATGTTGGCAATCGGTGTCCAGGTGTTGATCTGGCAGAGAAGAGACAAAGGAGAGTTTAAAAAAAAATGAATGCTCAGCTTCCAAAAAAAAATTCAGCTTCCAAAAAAATCCTCTCCCTTTTTTAAGAGTTGTAAGAGACACATCTGATGATCCATTCACTCATTCATCAAATTTATATGATCACACATATCACAAAAATGTAACTCTGAGCAGCATTCAGTATGGTTAAAAATTAATATACAAAATTATATTATTATTATTATTATTATTATTATTATTATTATTATTATTATTATTATTATTATTATTGATCATCGCAGTCAGCCAGATGTTCAGACTGGATTTGGCATTTTGTCTACCTATCGAGTCCTTTCCAAGGACCTGGAATAGGCAGATGTGGATGTTTGATGGTATTACAGATATCGTCGCAGGATGGAGGCAGTTCCTAGTAAGGCCGCCTAATAGGGAATTTGTCAATGCCAATGGTGTCCAAGTGGTGCTCCAGTTGTTTTGGGATTGCACCCAAGGCGCCTATTACTATTGGTACTACCCTTGCTTGCCTTTGCCACAGTCTTTCTATTTCTATTGGTAGGTCTTTGTATTTTGTTATCTTCTCCAGTTCTTTCTTGTCTATTCTGCCATCTCCAGGCACTGCCACGTCCACTATCCAGACTTTTTTGTCTTTCTTATCGACAATTGTTAAGTCCGGGGTGTTATGTTGCAGGTGCTTGTCTGTTTGAATTCTGAAGTCCCAGAGCAGTTTAATTTTATCATTTTCTATGACTTTCTCTATTTTATGATCCCACCAGTTCTTGTTTTTATTATTATTATTATTATTATTATTATTATTATTATTATTATTATTATTATTATTGTTGTTGTTGTTGTTGTTGTTGTTGTTGTTGTTTGTTGTTGTTGTTTTGTTGTTGTTTTGTTTTGTTGTTGTTACTATTATTATTATTATTATTATTATTATTATTATTACTACTACTACTATTAAAAAGCAAGACAAAAAGAGAACAGATATTAAGCAAAGAACAGAGATAAGTATCTCACTGGTCCCGGTTGCTAAACAAGACATTTAATGTGCGTTGTGCCTGATTTTATCATGTTTTTGTTAGGGTTGTTAAGCAAATCACTGCAATTGTTATGTGAATCACACGGTCACTAATCCGGCTTGTCCCATTGGCTTTTCCAATGGTGATCTAGGACTGTCAGGAGCAAAAGATCAGGTCCACCCTTAAAGGTCTAATTAAACTGATTTCTTTGCTAATTATCCCTATGCACAGGAATCTCCTCAATTAACATTAACGTCTGCTAGGAGTCAGAAAAGGGTCAACGGGATTCAAGAAAGGTGGGGCTTAGTTCACTTGTGGCTACGTAGGGATTCTAGGCTGATGCTTCTTTTAACTCCTACCTCAGATCTCCTCCTACATCGATGCTGCAACCATCAGAAATACACACCTGTTCCCAAGCACCGGATGCCCGACCACATGACCAGGGGAGTCCTGCAGTGGTTGTAAGTATGGGAACTGGCTGCAAGTCATATTTTGCAGTGCCATAGTAACTGCAAATGGCCACTAAATGAATAATCGTAGTTGAGGACCACCTGGATCTCCGTTCTACTCAGAACTCTCCATCTCTCCCTTGGTGGTCATGCCATCCAAGCAGGAGAAGAAGCATGAGGATCTGGCCCATGCTTTGCCTTCCACCCACCCCCTTTACCTGGGGTTCATACTTCTCCACGGTTGCCAAGTGCGACGAGCTGTCGTATCCTCCAACAGCGTAGAGGTTGCCATCTTTGATGGAGAAGAAGGGGGGGGGAGGAGAAGGAAAAAGCCACTTGTAAGAAAGTACCCCAGAGCACCTTGAGTTACAATCAAAATTGGGACTGAGACTGGAAATCCAGTCGTAAGTCATCCTGGTCATAAGTTGAGGCACCCATGGGTTTTCCCCACCCTTTTCACGGCCATTAAGCGAACATAGTGGTCATTAAGGGAAGCCATACCCTGCGTCCGAATTTTGAGCATGTGGCCATGTGGGGATGCTGCCGCGGCCATAGGTCCTAAGCCACTTTTTTCAGTGCCGTTGCAAGTTCAAATGGACACTAAATGAACTGTCGCAAGTGGAGGACGACCGGTATCCACTCTGGTTCCCAGGCCCTAAGAATGCCGCAACCTCTCGCATCCTTAAAAGAGCAGCTCTGTTGGGAAAAACCGGCCTTACCTAAGGTTGCCACGCGGACGTATCTCCTCCTCGTGCTCATAGCTGTGATGCTAGTCCAGGTCCCTGTGAGGGGGTCGTATCTTTCAGCACTGGGACATATCAAGAGAAATCAATAATCAATAACCCTCAGGAGCAAAACAACTCAAAAGGCAAAAAAGATTAGATGATTTGAGGCGAGGCAGCTGGGTCCAACTCACGAGATGCCGAAAGATCCACAACTTGTTTGAAAGCAGAATTTTGTTTATTTTATTTTTTTTGCTCCCTGTTCTCTTAACCTGACGAATTTGTTTTGTTTTCAGAACTCAGGGGCTTTTAGCAAGAAACTTTCTTTTATAGGCAGAAATTAAAGGAAAGCGGGAAGAAAGGCTGAGTCATCAAAGCTAATCACACATGTGCCTCTCATCCACGTGACCCTCAAATTAGGAACTTTTCAGCTAAGGAGAAAAAAAACAGAACTAAAAAAGAGGAATCAAACGCAGAACCAGGTAAAAAAAACCATTCCCAGAGGTCTAAATAAATTCTTAGGGCTCCATATAATAAAATACTCCTTCAACTATCAAGAGGAAGAATCTGCAGTATGCGGAAAAATGGAAGGAGTAGGGCAGGGGTCTTCAAACTTGGCCCTTTTGTGACTTGTGGACTTCAACTCCCAGAATTCCTCAGCCAGCAAACCTGGCTGAAGAATTCTGGGAGTTGAAGTCCACAAGTCATCAAAGGGTCATAGTTCCCTCACGATGGCTGAGGAATCCTGGGAATTAAAGTCCACAAGTCATCAAAGGGCCAAGTTTGAAGACCCCTGGAGTAGGGGGGGTCTATGCCAGGTGGTCTTCTCTCCCTTTTATGTATATTATGATCCAGGTGACATGGATGGTGACCTAACACCCATCCTGGTTCCGCGACAAATGAGAAATTCACCTGGGTGGTGTTTTGACGAGGGTCGTTTTTGGAGGAGAAGATGTACGAGCTTCAGTGGGATGTGGGAAACCTTCTGAACTTTGAAGGACCGTTTACCTGTTCAGACAGGAAGCTCCATCGTAGCCTCCAGCAGCATAGAGGAGTCCATGCAAGGCCGCCACGCCAAGGCAGCTCCGTCTGGTCCCCATGGAGACCTCCGTCTGCCACGAGTTGGTGACGGGATCGTAGGACTCAACGGTGGCCAAGTCAGACGTTCCATCGTAGCTGGACAGAGAGAGAGAGATCCATTTTTTTGTTTTTTAAAGAAAAAGAAGGAAGCAAAACTTTGGAAGGGAATTAGGAAAGGTTAACGAAAATTAGAAGCTGGAGATGTAAGAAAAACACAACGTCCTCAACAAGTCGTGGCCAACTCTTGGTGGCATCATCTTGAGCCCGGTTCTCTTGGTGGCCTTTTGACCTGGCTTGCTTCTGCTTTTGTTTGGTTTTGGTCAAGCTTTCCTTGACTTTGCAGTTTATCTCAGGCCAGCTGGCTCTTCGGAGGCCTTCAGCCTCCGAGGCTGGGCAAGTGCTGCCATCTGGTGTGGCAAAGACTCGCTCCCCTTTTTTCTGAGGGGGAGAAAAGAAAAATCCACAGGGACAGATGTTTGGGGAAAAGGGGCCTCTAAGGCAGGATAGCAAGGGAAAGCAAAAGAAATGAGTTCGTCTTTCCACAGGAGTTCAAGGGGCTTCGGTGGAACTTACTGCCACAAGACTTACTGACAGCCCCTGGCTAAAAAAAAGGTCTTTATGAGGAGAGTAGATTTAATTCATCAAGCTCAGAGGTGGTATGCTAGTGATGCTCAGTTTGCTATGGGGTGATAAATATATCCATCCATGTCTGTCTGTCTATCTGTCCGTCCATCCGTCTGTCCATCCATCCATCCATCCATCATCTGTCTATCTGTCTATCATCTGTCTGTCTATCTATCTATCATCTGTCTGTCTATCATCTCTCGTCTGTCTGTCTATCTATCTACCTATCATCTATCTATGCATCCACCTATCATCTATCTATCATCTATCATTTATCTATCTATCTATCTATCTATCTATCTATCTATCTATCTATCTATCAATCATTGTCTGTCTATCATCTATCTATCATCTATCTATCATCTATCTATCATCTCTCGTCTGTCTGTCTGTCTGTCTGTCTATCTATCTATCATCTATCATTTATCTATCTATCTATCTATCTATCTATCTATCTATCTATCTATCTATCTATCTATCTATCATTGTCTGTCTATCATCTATCTATCATCTATCATCTGTCTGTCTATCTGTCTGTCTGTCTGTCTGTCCATCTATCCTTCCTTCACTATTTCTCCTTCCTTCCTCCATTTTCTCCTTCCCTCCCTTTCCTTCCTTCTCTCCATTTATCTTTCCTTTCCTTTCCCTTCCTTTTCTTTCCCCTCCCTCCCTTCCTCCCTTTCTTCCTCACCATAGTAGGAGTAGTAAATCTGCAACTCCGTGAATTCTACACAGTGATCTTTAGTTGTCCCGTGACCTTGGAAGAGATCTAGACAGATGAATCCAGGGGTACTTTTCTATCACTTTCTCAGGGTCAAATGAGGCTTACCTGCGAATGCCATCCAGGAAGGCTCTCATCCTGCTCAGATTTTTTTTCTTTTTTAAATCCAATCGAATTCTACCTTAACCCAGATTCTGAACCTGGACAAGAGTCTCCTCAACCTAACCCCGCGAGCAGCTGAAGTTCAGCAAGGACTTTTTCTTCGGAGTCTGGCCGAAGGCCTCCGCTTTCTGTTCGGTCAGGTTTAAAACACCTTCCTGCTTCAACCGTTTAATTACGACCCTTCCCTGGTTCATCCCCTTGTCTCTCTGTGCCTCTCTGCCAACCAGGTAAAAACCCGACCGTGGGAGAGAGTCCCGGGCTGTGTCTGGCATGCCCTTCCAAGGAGACCTGCTCGATGATCTCTTAGGCACCCAGAAGACACCTCTGCACTCCTCCTCTGAGTGCTTTCAATTTCCGTAGCTTGCTGCCACTTTTTTTCTTTTAAATCCTGCAGCTGCCTCCATCTTCCTCCTTTCCTCATTCCCCCACCCCCCCAAGTTATTCCATCCCAATATCCAAAAGGAGCCGATTCCTCCTGGGGGGGAGGGAGGGTCTTACCCGCCCACGGCATAGAGCTTGTTCCCAATCGCCGCCACCCCCACCCTGGCCCGGCGGGTGGACATGGAGGCAACCATGTGCCAGCGGTCGGTCCGTGTGTCGTAGGCTTCGCAATCCCCATGGATGGCAAAAAGGCTCCCTCCGCCTGCAGGGGAGAGAGAGGGAGAGAGGGAGAGAGGGAGGGAGGGAGGGAAGGAGAGGGAGAGAGGGAGAGAGAGAGAGAGAGAGAGAGAGAGAAACACAACAATTTTGCTTAAGATTGGGCCAGATTCATTCAGATTCAACATAGTTGTCATCTTGGGGAAAATTTGCTGGAAGTACATCACACTGGCTGTTTTTCAACAACGCACACAACCAACTCGGTGGAGTGGTCTAGAATCATAGTTTCTCAAAACTTGGCAACTTTTAGAGATGTGGACTTCAACTCCCAGAATTCCCCAGCCAGCAATTTCAGAGAAGGTACTTTTTAAGAAATATCAGGGCTATCCTTCCTTCCTTCCTTCCCTTCCTTTCTTCTTTTCCCTATCATCTTCCTTCCTTCCTTCCCATCCCATCTTCCTTCCTTCCTTCCTCTTTTCCCTCATATCGTCTTCCTTCCTTCCTTCCCATCCCACCTTCCTTCCTTCCTTCCCTGTCTCTACCTCTTTTCCTTTCCTTCCTACCTCCTTTTCTTCTTCCTTTCTTCCTCCCTCCCTTCACCTCTTTTCCTTTCTTCCTACCCTCTTCCTTCTCCTTCCTTCCTTCCTCCTTTTCTTTCTTCCTACACTCTCTTCCTCTTCCTTTCCTTCGTACCCTCTTCCTCCTCTCCTTCCTTTCCTCCCTCCCTTCACCTTTTCTTCCTACCCTCTCTTCCCCTTCTCCTTCCTTCCTTCCTCTCTCCCTCCCTTTTCTTCCTACCCTCTTCCTTTTCTCCTCCCTCTCCCTCTTGTCCTTTCCTTCGTACCCTCTTCCTTCGTACCCTCTTTCCTTCGTACCCTCTCCTTCCTTCTTTCCCTTTCTCCCTCCACCTCTTTTCCTTTCTTCCTACCCTCTCTTCCCCTTCCTCCCTCCTCCCCTCTCCCTCCTTCCCTTCCCCCCTCCCTCTTTCCTGCTCTCCTCCTTCACCCCCAGGCCTTACCCACAGCAAAGAGCACCATGCTGGCCCCCTCGCAGCGCCGGGGACGGGTCCGGCTGTTGCTCAGGACCGCCCTCTGCTCGGGCATCAAGTGGTACTTGAGGGCCTCGATAAGCAAGTCTTTGCACTCCGAGTGATGGCGGACCAGCAATTCGGTGTCCACGTTGCTCATCAGGAAATCCCGGCTGAGCAAGGGAAGACGGACGCACTTCATGAGCTGGAAAGGAAGGAGGGGGGGAGGGGAGGAAGAATTAAAACCCAGAAGGGGATTCAATCAGGCCTCACCTGCGGGGGGGGGGGGATCACCAAGGGTCTGCCCTGGAAGATTCTTGGGTTGCACTTCTGGGGAGAAACAGCTTATGGACCAGGAGAGCAGCTTTAACCTCAGAAGCATCCACCTTCCCAATTCTGCTTCATTAAAAGTGAGTTTCTCCACGGGAGAGGCCCCTCTGTGGAGAGGGGGTTTGTCTAGGTGACCTTTTAGGGACCCTTTCAGCTCTATGGCTCGGGAAGCACGAAGAACCGCAGCTGCAACGCAAGAATCAGCAGAGAGAATTAGAAAGATGCCCAACTTGTGCTTTTCAACGTCTTCCGGGTCCTACGTTCTAGGATAGCTTAGGTGGGGGATCACAACTCCCCTAATCCCCGGCCAGCCTGACCCACACTCTGACAAACTAGGAACGATCAGTCTCTGGGGCAGCAGGCTGGGAGCGTCTAAAACCTCTCTGTTGGTCAAGGAGCCTTCAATCTCTGATTTTATGATCTTTCCAAAGCCCGGTTTTTGGATCCCGGGGCCAGCAAAGGCATTTAGACCCAAACGGGAAAGGCCTTTGATGTGAAATGTCCCAAAAAGGCATATATATATATTAAAAAAATGCAATATTTGGGGAATGGTGATGGTGGGAACCCTTCAAGAAACGTGACACATATTTGTAAGCATGAAGGGAAGACCCTCCGTCGCAAGAATTAATGGCTCACTGAGAGGAAGCCGGGAGACTCACGACGTTACTTCCAGAGCGTCCATCTTTTCATGAAATGCTTACAGTTTATCTCGGAAAGCCACGTACTCGGGGAATATTCTGCTTCCTGCTGTCCACATCGTGCTTCACCCAGCTCAAGACGGCTCGGTAAACTTCCTCTTCCGAAGGCACGTTGAGGCTGTCGCTGGAGATGAGATCTAAGACCTGCCCACAGGAAGAAGGAAAGGAACATCCGGAAGTTTGGATCTGAGAGGGTGGAATCCGGTTGGACAAAGACAATTATGAACAATGGGTCAACCTGGATCCGAGAGAACGGAATTGGCTTGGATAAAGGCAGTTCCGAGCAATGGGCACCAACCTGGATCTGAGTGGGTAGGATTGACTTGAACAAAGACAATTCACAACTGCTGGTCCACCTGGACCTAAGAGGATGAAATTGGCTTGGATAAAGACAATTCTGAACAATAGTTAACCTGGATCCGAGAAAACAGAATTGGCTTGGATAAAGGCGATTCCGAGCAATGAGTCAACCTGGATCCGAGAGGATGGAATTGATGTGAACAAAGACAATTCTGAACAATGGGTCAACCTGCATCCGAGAGGATGGAATTGGCTTCGATAAAGACAATTCTGAATAATAACCTGGATCCGAGAAAACAGAATTGGCTTGGATAAAGGCGATTCCGAGCAATGGGTCAACCTGGATCTGAGCGGATGGAATTGACTTGAACAAAGACAATTCTGAACAATGGGTCAACCTGCATCCGAGAGAATGGAATTGGCTTGGATAAAGACAATTCTGAGCAACGCTCACTCTCACTCTGCTAATTCTTTTCCTTTAGATGGGTATTTTTCTTCTCCGAGGGGCAGAGCGCAGAGAGACCCAACTTTAACGCCAGAATCCACTACAAGTTGCCTAGGTGCTTCGCAGTGTAAAAAACACAAGTAAATACACCCGTAGCTCTGTGTGCAATGGAACTCCTATCTCCTACTACGATTTAATATCGTGACTGTGTTGAGTATCAGCATCCTTTCACCCCCACCTGGATGCCTCCCCCCATCTCACCTGTTTCAGAGGCAGCAACATAAACTCTTCCGTCTTGGAGACATCCACAAAGTGCTGCAAGACGTACTTATGCGCCGATTTCAAGAGGTCGCTGCAGGAGTGGGTGTCTGCAAAACCCCGGATGCCCAGACAGTTGGAGGGGTCCAGCTGGCTCAAGAGGAACTTGCAGCAGGCATCCCGCACCCCGTTCAGCTGCAGGAGGCTGGCTGCAGGAAGCAGTGTCTGGGAAAAAAAAAAAGAGGCTGCTGGCGGCATCCTTGTGGCCAGGAGTTCCACAGACAAGCCACAGTGTAGATTTTATACTGGGCTGAAGACGGACTGGTCACAGAGGGAGGGCTGGGACGAGGGGAAACCTTTCCGTATCTTTTGAGTGTGGGAAACCCAGATCTAGCCTGACTTTACTGCAGCCAACAACCCTTAGTAAAAGAATCTTCCGCTTCAACCCAACGGAGTCAAGGATCTTTCTTTCCTAAGGGATCAGATTGGGACAGGTCTGACAATGCTCTTGTGTGTTTGAATCCTTCCTGGATGGATCCAAGAACAGCCCTTGGAGGGTCTTGCGAGGTCTTACCTGGACGTTCCCTTCTCCCACCACGATCTCAGCCGTGTAGGCATACTGGACCAGTTGCTCCAGAGCCTGCGGATCAATATCATGGAGGGTGACGTGCGTCTGACGGCTCTCACTCATCTCATCTGCGCCGACAGATTAAAAAGAATAACCTGTATGGATTTTAGGAGGAACCGGGTATGTCTAGTCTAGCGAAAAGAACGACTAGGGGTGACTTGATAGCGTTCTTCCCATATTGGAGGGGCCAGCACAAAGAAGAGAGGGTCAACCTATTCCCCAAAGTATCTGAAGATAGGACAAGAAGTTTTGCAAAAAGCTGGCAAGGTCAGAGACATCTAATCTTGTGGAGAAGGTAAAAAAAAATTCCCTGGTGGATTTTACTGCACAAGTTGTTGCTAGATCAAAGGGGCTGTGTTGTTCCCCATTCCAAGGTCACTGAGCCCGCGCTGTCCGAAGACATTTCCGCGATCATGTGGCCAGCATGACATCACAGGCAGCTGTTACCTTCCCACCAGAGTGATACCTATTTATCTACTTGCACTCGCATGCTTTCGAACTGCTACTGTTGGCAGGAGCTGAGGCGAGGACAGGAGCTCACTCCCATCGTGTATCGCTCGGGTCTTGAACCGGGGCTGACGGCTTTCCAGCCAACAAGCCCAGCGTTTTAACCACTGAGCCACTGCACCACCCCAGTCCTTGGGGAAGAGGTGGGCTATAAATCGTGACAAATTAAATAAATGCAAGTATAGATGCAGAACTGCAGAGGTCTCTGGCTGTCCCCACCCGAACGAGTTTGCAGCTGAATTTCGGTTAGATGTAGGCGGGAATTTGTCCACGAGGAGGATAGAGTCCTCCCACCCGGCCCCAGATACTTGCTTGTGAACATGGCGTGGAAGTAGGGGCTGCAGGAGGCCAGCACCACCTTGTGCGCCTTGATTTCTTTGGTGGCCACGTGCAACACAATGTCGCACAGGAGGCCCCGTTGCCGCATGCGGTTCATGCAGACGAAGGCGTCGTGGTAGTGCCGCTTGGAGTTGTGGGAGATGCTGTGGCCGTCCCGGTTCAGGAGCTGCATCCCGTTCTCCATGGCGGCAGCCGGCTCGCTCCTGGCTCGCGGCAACGCCCTTTCGGCCTCTCTGCGGAAATGAAATTCAAATTAAGTCCTCGACCTACGATCATCCTGGATCTTGCCCGTCATGGTCGGATATCACGAAGCATTCCGCATGACGACCCCCCCATCCCTGTTTTTCCCCAGCGCAATTGTGAAACGAACACGCAGATGGCGAAGTGGAGATCTGGGCGTCCTCTGTCAACCGTCTGACTAGCAAATTCAACATGGCTTTGAGGTGCCACAAAAGATAAAACTTTATTGAATACACATCTTGGTGCTGCTTGGGCAGGGGGTTGGACTAGAAGACCTCCAAGGTCCCTCCCAATCCTATTATTCTACGTTCTACCTGTATATAGACCTCCAAGGTCCCTTCCAACATCAACATCATCATCATCATCATCATCATCATCAATCATCATCATTGATAGAAGCAACCTGGAATTAAGGAGAAACTTCCTGACAGTGAGGACAATTAATCAGTGGAACAGCTTGCCACCAGAAGTGGTGGGTGCTCCATCACTGGAAGTTTTTAAGAAGAGACAGGACAGCCATTTGTCCGAAATGGTGTAGGGTTTCCTGCCTGAGCAGGGGGTTGGACTAGATGACCTCCAAGGTCCCTTCCAACATCATCATCATCATCATCATCATCATCATCATCATCATCATCATTATTATTAAACTGAAAAAAACCCCACAAGGCGTGCATGAAGCAAGTTGCCCCAATAATAGAAATTATGAAAAAGTACCCAGCAGATTTGCTCTAGATCCACCCATGCTTGCATCCTGGCACTAAGTCAGGGGCACAATCCTGGCCGGGACTCAGGACCCTTCCCAAATCCCTATGCCCCACTGACTGCAAGGGGCACCATTCAGCTTAAAATAACCAGCTGGGGAGACGAATCTCTTTTTTTGCTTATCCTGGCAAAAAAGCAGGGCGTGAATTTGCTCAAGAGCATCATAGCGGGAAGGAAAGAAGCATCAGCACCCCAATCCATGCTCCGTCTCCCTTCCCTGCCTCTTGATTGACAGACAGATGCCAGGCCGTGCAGGGTTTAAGCCTCTCGGCAGAGGAAAAGCCCAAAATAGCAGAAGTGGGAGCTTCCTGCCAGGGAGGAGTGGAGTGGGGACTCCCATCTTCATCGGAGAAAAGAGCGGAAACAATTCCCGAGAGCCACCCACACAACTGTCAACGGATCGTGCAAAAATGTCTGCAGTCTTCAGGATTGCGGGGGACGTCTCACACACACACACAGCCAGCTGGATAATTAATGCTTGCAAAGGACTGTGGCGGGAGAAATTCGAGATATAATTATTCCTGGGAGGGGGGGAGGCAGACTGCAGCCCCCCCTCCTCCTTGCAGCTGTCCGAAGGCAAGGACGCAATAATTGGGTCTCCCAAGGCCTGGTGCAATCCACACAAACTCTTGAGTTAGCACAGGGGTAGGCAACCTTGGCTCTTTTATGACTAGTAGACTTCAATGCCCAGAATTCCTGAGCCAGCATGGCTCAGCTTGGAAAGCTCTCCCTTTCCCCTCAGCGTGGCTGGCTCAGGAATTCTGGGAGTTGAAGTCGACGAGTCATAAAAGAGCCAAGGTTGCCTACCCCTGAGTTAGGAGAACCATTCCAGGCCAGCCTTCGTAAGCGTCTTTCTCCTATGCTTCGTTCTAGGAAGAAGGCCCCAAATGTCTCGGTGATCATCTGAGCCCCTGATTGGGCTTCAAGGCTAGCGAGAATCATCCAGGCCACATGCAACTATGTCAGAACATCCCCATGCAGGTTAAAAGAGGGAATAGCAGAATTCATCCAGGGTTTCAGGAGAGCAACATCTCTGCCTTTGGCAGCTCTCCAAGGTGCTGAACTCATTTCTTCACCCTACGGCAGCTTTGCTGGCTCAGGAACTCTGGGAGTTGAAGTCCACAAGTCTTAAAAGTGGCCAAGGTTGAGGACCCCTGCCCTACGGGTATCCCTTGGCTTATAACCAGGGCTGTGGAGTCGGTAGATAAATGTTCCGACTCCGACTCCTCTGTATTAATATGACCCTCCATTCCCTTCACTTATACAAGTGTCTCTAGTCCTGCAAAAAACATATTTACTTAATCCCTTATCAGTGAGAGGCTAGGTTACCCATGGGCGCTGCGTTCCCTGTAACAGCAGAACACAACACTATGGAAAGTATAAGTATTGCCGCTCCTAATTGTGCGTTGCGTGCCATATAGTGAAGCACATGAAAAGCATGCTTCTTCACGGTCACTTAACGTGTTCGTTTTGCGGTTACGTGAGGCACTGCATGCATTGGTCTTTATTCTTACAATAGAGAAGTCATTAATTATAACTTTTTGTGAATTGGGACATTTAAACTTGCTTTTTTTTAAATTCCAATCTAAATTTAGATTGGAGTCGGAGTCGGTGCATTGTTTGCCGACTCCGACTCCAGGTACCCAAAATTTCCTCCGACTCCGACTCCACAGCTCTGCTTATAACCATTCGTTCAGCGACAGCTCCAAGTTACAACAGCACTGAAAAAAGTGGTCCTCACCCTTACAGCCACTGCTGCATCCCCGGGGTCACAGGACTGAAATTCCGGCTCTCGGTAACTGGCATGTATTTTACCTGGTTGCATTCTCCGGGGGGGGGGTGTCATCTGATCACCACTTGTGACTTTCCCAGCCAGCTTCTGACAAACCAAATCAATGGGGGAAGCCAGATCCACTTAACAACCAGGTTGTTGACTTATCCACTGCAGTGATTCATTTAACAACCGTGGCACGGGAAGTCGCAAAATGGGGGCAATGTCTCAGAAACGTTGGGCTAGGTTCTGGACATAACCCAAGGATTCTCTGTACAGGTTATCTTTTCTAGCCTCACATTTCAGCTTAGCCAAATTTTGTCCTGATCTTTCCCTGGTTATCTCTTCGAGGATGCGGGCGGGGAAAAAGCTCCCATCTCATTTTTGAAGGGAGCAATTCCTCCTCCTCCTCCCCCCCTCCTTCCTTTCTTTCCTTTGTAGCCCTCCAGCTCCTCTAAAAATAGCTCAGGTTGTGAAAAGGAACATGACGCAAAAGCCCAGAGATTAATCTGGTTGCTAATACAGGTAGCTTCTGAAAACAGCTGTAAAAGTTCCAGCTGACATTTCAAAGGGCTGCAAAGCCGGCCTCACACCCATTTGGGGCAGAGTTTGTGACACAGTGGCAAAGCACAACTCAGCAACCTGGCGGGGGGGGGGGTCCCTCAAGAGCTCCCATTGAACCAGATGCCCCTTCCTCAATATTCTGCATTACACAAAAAAGTCATTTCCCCGTTCTCTCAGCAAATCACTATAAGCTGTAATTGTGTAGGACTGGGCAGGTTGTGGTTGAAGTCACAAACATGAAGCCAGAATAAGCCACAAATTTGCACAAAAAACAACCAGGAGACATTCCAAGCCAAGGTGAATCGGTGAATAAATATTGGAATACATTTTTCACACTTTAAACGACCGTTGCAGCATCCCGCATGATCAAAATTCAAGCGTGCACACTGGCTGAGGAATTCTGGGAGTTGAAGTCCACAAGTCATCAACGGGCCAGGTTTGAAGACCCCCCAGGGCTACAGCCATGAAACTTCTCCAGCAGTCTCTATTTTATTGGGTGGCTTTCTTTGGCTTGAAGATGACCATCAATCAGTTCAGTCAAAGTCAAGGACTGGGGTGGACTAGATGACCTCCAACACGATCCCAGTTCTGAAATTCTGAAGCGAGCATCTGCCTGGACCCACTGCATTGCTGGAGTTTATAATTTAGATTCCCTTACTGGGAATCTGCCAGCAGAAACATTCCAGACATGTGACATTATAGCGCACCAGGTATCCTAGCAAGGACCGGGGGGGGAAAGTCTACAAAATCAGTCTAACTTAGAAGACCCCACAAATTGCCTCCAGTTGTCCAGATCTCTGGTTGAGACCCAAGGTGGATTTCTAGAGATTAAGCATTCAGCTTACCATCTTTTGTCCTGGGCATAACCGATCGATCAATACTTGAAATATTGGATATTTTATACTTTTTAAACGTAGGCTGGACAGAAAAGCTAGCTGAGAGCCAGGCTATCT